AATGAGTATGCTCCCTGGGGTGGTTTGCTGTTCTGCAGTAGATAACTAATACAACCAGCCAACATAAGAAAGAAAAAGCAGACTGGGTACAGTGGCTCACGCCTGTAATCCTAGCACTTTGGGAGGCCAGGGCAGATGGATCACTTGAGGCCAAGAGTTCGAGACTAGCCTGGCCAACAGGCTAAAAATACAAAAAAATTTAGCCAGGCATGGTGGCACACACCTGTGGTTCCAGCTACTCGGGAGGCTGAGGCACGAGAGTCATTGAACCCGGGAAGTGAAGGTTGCAGTGAGCCAAGAGTGCATCACTGCACTCCAGCCTGGGCAACAGAGCGAGACTCTGTCTCTAAATAAATAAAAATATTGCATCCCAGGCGAATGGCAGAAATTAACGCCACCTTAAAAAACAAAGGATGCAAGGGTAGTGTCCCCCCTCAAATCTCCACTTAATTCGCCCATCCAGATGCTGCGAGATCAAGGTATGTCCCGTAGTGTGAAAGTAGACTACAACAAACGAACCAAATATCCCCAATTACAGCTACTGTGCCCGATGCGTCCATGCTAGAGTGGATTCACATAGTCCACACAGTTATCAGTGTCAGATAACTGACCACTGATCTGGCCGATGCACGACTTATCCCCACCAAAAGGAAGATCAGAAACAGTAGATTCACTTGGAATTGATACAAGTGTATATTTATGGTTTTCCTACAGGGCTGTGTTAACTCTGTCAAAATATGGTCTAAAGACATGAGAACTGTCTGGATATTTCTTAGAACTTCATAGTAGTTCCTGTGTTGATGATATCATATGCATCACGCTAATGAGGCCAGACGAGCAAGAAGTGTCAAGTACTTTGTGTGAGACACATACACTCTAGAAAGTGGGAGAAACGTCCTGTGATATACAAGAGGTTGCCTCATCAGTGAACTTTTTAGGAGTCCAGTGGTCTAAGCATGCTGGAACATTCTAAAGCAAGGAACACATTACTGCAACTCATACCTACCACAAGGAAGAGGGAAGCACAACTTCTAGTAAATGTATTCATGTTTTAGAGGCAGCATATTCCACAACTGGGAATACTGCTTAACCTAATACCTGGTAACACAGGAGGCTGCCATCTTTGACTGGGAGGCCCAGAATAGGAGAGAGCTCTGCAGCAGGTCCAGTTGCTACAAGTGGCAGACCCTACAGTCTTGATGTTTCAATTGATCATCACTTCTCTTCCTCTACTGTCCATTTTAGATTCCTCTCAACCTCAGGAAGCACCTCTGCTGAGCCTCTGCTCATTCCATTATATTACAGGTATCCAAGGTGGAGTTTCTAGCAAGCCCCAGGAGGACAATCACAATATAGGTCTTCAGGGTTCTGGAGCAAGACCATACTGTCTGCAGCAGGGAATTAGACACCTTTTGAAAAGTAGCTCCTGGAGGGCTACTAGACCCTGGCAGAGATGGAATACTTCACCAAGGGGCACCAAGTGACCACGTGTCTAGAACCGTTCGTTATTAGTTAGGTTCTGCCTTTCAAACTCACCAAGACCTAAAGTTGAATGGGCCTGGCAATAATCCATAGTAAGATGGAAGTGGTATGTCCAGAACTGGGCATGAACAGAGCTATACAGTCAGGTAGCCCAGACACATGTCACCGCCAGTGTGGCACCAGGGTTTCTTCCTCAGCTCACGCCTGTGGCTGCACAGGGGGCAAAGTCCTTTATGATCCGCTGACAAAAGAGGAAAGCCTTTGCTTTGCCTTGATTCACAGACGGGTCAGACTGGTACGTGGGTGCAAGCCAAAAATGAACTGTGACTACAGTACAGCCCACCACAGGCTGATCTTGACAAACAGTGGCAAGGGAGGTTCCCCCAGTGGATCAGTCCTCTCAGGGGTGCATCTGTTCATCCACTTTGTATGGAAAGACATGTAGCCCAAGGGTACACTTTATATTCATACATGGCTACTAGCAGCTGCCTTGATGCATGGATCAGGGGTCTGGAAGGAGAAAGATGAGAAGATCAAGGACAAGGATGCTGGGGACAGAGGCATGTGGATGGACTATTTGAGTAGCTAAGAAGCGTGAAGAGGACCACCAGAGAGCATCTACCATGAAAGAAACACCAAACAACCAGATAGAATGGTTTCGCCAACTGGATGTCAGCCAGATGCCATCAGCCACCCCAGAACTGGCACAGTGGGCATGTGAAGGAGCAGCTATGGTGGCAGGGATGGGGACAAACACACAGACCAAATAGCATGGGCTGTCACTCACAAGGGCTGATGTAGCTACCGCCACTGCTGAATGTCCAGCCTGCCAGCAATGCATCAGTGCTGATCCTCGGAAATGGCAAAGGCTCTCAAAGTGAATAAGTAGCCACTTGATGGTAAGTTGACTACAGTGGATCCCTTCCATTCTAGAAATGGCAGAAATTTATTTCGACTAGAATGGACACATGCTTACCTTTTCCGCCGGCAGGGCCTCAGCCAACACCACTATCTGAGGGCTTACTGAGCGTTTTACCCGCTGACATAGGATCCCACATCACATCACATCGGACCCAAGGGCCCATTCATTGCATAGCCAAGGAGGCATGACAACGGCATGCGACCATGGGATCACCGGTCCTGTCACGTTCTGCACCACCCAGAAGATACTGGCTTGAACGAAGAGAAGAAATGGGCTGCTGAAGGCATAGCTGAGATGCCAGCTCAGAGATGATGATACCAAGTAAGGAGGGGACACCACCTTCCAGGGCACAGTGTACACTCTATTCAACAACCAGTAAGGCGCTACGTCCCACTGGGAGGAATATATAGGTCCAGGAACCAAGGGGTAGAGATAGGAGTGGCTCCACTTTACATTAATCCCATTGGGGTATTTCTGTTACCACAACTCTAAGCTTTGAGGATTTTAGGTTCTGGTTCCCAGTGAGGAAATGTCTCCATCAAGGGATACAGCGAAAGTACACCAAGGAACCAGTAGGCGAGAAGCAGGAGCCACCGTCCTGGCAGGAGTAGTGGACCCTGCCCCCCAGGCAGTTGCACAGTGGGGGCCAGGAGGAATACGTCCCTGTACGCTCTTGCCCCTCGTTGATGGGAAATGCACAGGTGCAGCAGCCATGGCCTGAAGAGGGTGTGGTGGCCAGGGGCTCAGCTGAGGTGCCTCCTGCAGGGAGGAGAATCTAAAACGGATAGAAGCTGAGGCAGGCGCAGTGGCTCACGCCTATAATCTCAGCACTTTGGGGGGCCGAGGCGGGAGGATCACTTGAGGTCGGAGTTTGAGACCAGCCTGGCTAACGTGGTGAAACCCTGTCTCTACTAAAAAAAAATTACAAAAATTAGCCAGGCGTGGTGGCGCGTGGTTGTAATCCCAGCTACTCAGGAGGCTGAGGCAGGAGAACTGCTTGAACCTGGGAGGCGGAGGTTGCAGTGAGCTGAGATCGTGCCATTGCACTCCAGCCTGGGCAAGAGAGTGAGACTTGGTCTCCAAAAAAAAAAAAAGTAAAATAAAATAAAATGGATAGAAGTCCGAGTGCAGTGCTTCACACTTGTAATCCTAGCACTTTGGGAGCCTGAGGCAGGAGGATCACTCAAGCTCAGAAATTCATCAGCCTGGGCAACATAGTGAGACCTCATCTCTTAAAAAAAAAAAAAAAATGTAATTAGTTGAGTCCAGTGGCACACACCTGTAGATCCAGCTACTCAGGTGGCTGAGGCAGGAGGATCACTTGAGCTTGGGAAGTGGAGGCTGCAGTGAGCTGTGATCACACCACTGCACTCCAGCCTGGGCAACAGAACCAGACTGTCTCTAAATAAATAAATAAACAAAGGATAGAAGAGGGAGATGGGGAGTACCACAGACCTCAAGCACAGCTGCAGTGGTGGGGGCTGTGGTCATCTGATGAACCGTTTGTTCGTTCCAGAGAAAGGCGAGCTGCCCCAGAACTTAGCCGGAGGAGTGGATGCCCTGATACACAATCCAGATCCCCCTCAAGACAGAGGCTCTGCCGCAGCTGCCGGGAGGATTGCTGGCTCACCGCCCTCCTCAGGAATTGCCCCCAAGTGAAGAGAGCTTCCCCACCCAGTGTCCCACCTCCTCTCTGAGGACAGTATGCACCCAGTGACTGGCTGAAGCTGGGGTACAAAGGTCTGGCCCCTCAGCTCGGTGGGGATGGGGGCATCTGAAGCTGGGACGGCCATGAGACTTTTCTAAGGCTTCAGAACCCTCCATGGGTTCAGCTGAGGGGACTGCCTTGCAGCCCAGCTTCTCCCTCTGAGCAAGTCTGAGCTTCCTTCCCTTCTCCTGTAGGTGCAGAACCTGAGAGCAGCCCCATTACACTCCCTGCCTGCAAATCTCCATCTCAAAGTCAGCCTCCAGGGAGCCGCCCTGAAACAGAGTCTGTGGTGGAGCTCTGCAGAGTATCCCTGTGCAGATAACCAGCGCTGGGCGTTAGAGCAGGACTCTCTCCACCCGCACGGCGCCGGGGCTCTGCACACCCCTCTGCAGCCATCCTCGCTGGTGTCCCTCAGCTGACACCCTTGCCCTCGGTGTGTCCTTCCTCATGGCCTGCAGGTTTCACATCCCAAGCTACAGATCATGTCTTCTGGTTTGGGCTCATTATCTTAGCAGCAGCACGTGTGGAAATCGTCTCTCATGACCGCAGAGGGCAGGCATCGTGCAGAGGGTTACGTGGGCCTGCTCGACATTGGTGGTTGTTAGCTCTCATGTCTATGCCTTGGTCCCTTTCCCCGCAGGACTTGGAGAGCAAGCTGTTTGAATCTGATGCAAACCCTGGGCTTCGACTATCATGCCAAAAGGCAGCAAATAAGTGCCTTTTCTTCCCTTCAGAATGCATGGACAATCCAAAGCCCTATTATTCAGAATGAAAAGTGTTTACAGTATTCGTCCTCTTACTCCTCAGTACGTGAGCCTGTTCCTCATAGCAGGTAATTTCTTCCTAATTCAAAAACTCCTCATGGAAGCATCTGTTTTTGTCATCAAGGAGGGGACTGTATGTGGAATCGCAAGGCCAAAGACACCGCGGGTCAACTCTTCTCAGGACCAGATCCAAGTCGCCAGTGGGAACACACGTTCAGGCAGCCGCCACCAGCACCCCGCCTCAGGAACAAGGCTCCCTGCTTCATGTGGGCAAGAGGTGCCCCTGTTTTCCCAGCAGGCAGTCGGGGGTCTGGAGCCTAGGGAGCAAAGTGAAGCATACACTCCTGCTTCCTTCCTTCCCTGCACTTGGTGAGTTTCTGGCTCAGCTTAGATCAATGTCATCTCTTCAGCCTGGCCCAGTTTACCACTATCTCTGTGGGAAGGAGCCCAGCAGCAGGGGATGCCAGACCTGGAAATAGATCCGCTCATTGCAGTATGGCAGGTGCAGAGGAGCAGAGCCAGCCATAGCTGGAAGAGAATCTTGGGGCACAGAGATGCACAAACACATAGGAGCAAGTTGAGACCCAAGTACCAAGCTGTAGAGTTACTGCACCATAGCAACCCAGGCCAGGAGGCAAGGTAAGAGGATGGTTATTACAGAGAGCCACGGGGCAAGAGTGGAGCCACCTTGACAGTGGGGGTGACCAGAAGCCACATCTGGGAGTGTTGACCCAGAGTCTGCATTTCCTCCTGCTCAGGACTGTAGGAGAGGCCCATCTTAAATGCCACTATCTCTGTGAGCTTTTGGAAACCTTACCGGCTTCCTCCCATGTTCAGGGAGCTCCACTAAGGTAACCTTCCTGCCTTCTCTCCATCCCTCTATTACTTTGGCCCAGGGAAAATGAAAGATGACCGCTTGGATAGGTAGGTGGGGAGGGGAAACGGGTCCTGTGTAGGCCAGTTGGCCCCTCCATCACCTTGGGGGTGAGCACATGCAGGGTACAAGATCCCACTGCTCTCGCTGAGGGGGCTGCACCCCTGCAGGACTAAAGGAGCATCTCCTAGTCCAGGGCTGCCATGGCTGGGTGGGTGAGCCTGCCTCCTAGTGGGATTTGCATTAGCAGCTCACTTAGTTCACAGGTCTAAAGCTGTGTCCTCCAGTCCAGCCCTCTAGCAGTAACAAAGAGGATATTTGGGTTCCTGTTGCCATTCCTTTGTTTTATTTCTCAGGGCCCTCAGAGACACCCCAGAATAGGGTTCCTGTCCCCTTCAATCTTGCCCTTCTTTGAGTCCCCATTGCATTTTGTGGTATGTTCCTAGCATGAACTTTCATTCTTTCAGTAGTTACCTCCTTATTTCCTTCCCCCCTGCATTTAAAAATAATTTTTATAGATGAGGTCTCACTCCGTCACCCAGGCTGGAGTGCAGTGGTGCAATCATAGCTCGCTGGGCTCAAGCACCCTTCCTGCCTCTGCCTCCCAAGTAGCTGGGACCACAGGTGCACATGACTATGCCCAGCTAACTTTTGTTTTTCTTTTTTGTAGAGACGGGAGTCTTACTTTGTTGCCCAGGCTGGTCTCAAACTCCTGGCTTCAAGCAATCCTTCTGCTTCAGCCTTCCAAAGTGCTGGGATTACAGGCATGAGCCACCATGCCCAGCCTCCTTCCCTTACTAGCTGAGAACTAAGAGAAGACACTCTGGAGACAGAGGAGGAAACAATGGCGACACCGCACGATGAATACATAGTGGAGGATGAAGACAAGGCTCCGTCAGGGGCACTAGCAAGGGAAGCCCAGTTCTGTGGGGAAGGTATGGGGCGGCTTCACAAGCCCAGTGTCTGTCTGCTCTCTTTGTGGGAGATGTGTTGTTTCGGCATCCATTCCTGCTTCTTTTAGGAAAAGTGCTTGAATTTCCTTTTCAGGAACCACCCACCATCCTCTCATCCATGCGTTCTGTTCCTGGCATCAGGGGTAGACAAGTGACTTCAGGCTTGGCCAGTTAGGGTTCTGACTCTTGGTCAAATTGGAGTGAATCCTGAGTCATTTGTAAACTCCAAGCAAAGGGCTTGCTTTGTTTTCTGTTGAATGCAGTGCTGTGAGATAACCAGAAATGAAGCTGCTTTCTTGCCACAGTGAAGGCAAGAAAAGGGCCTGGCCGGCAAATGATGCCAGCGATTGGGGTGGAGCTGGAAGAAGGGGAGCGAGGAGGCCCAGACATCTTGGGAGCCCCGAATTCACCTCAGGATTTAACTTCTCTGCTGCTTAGCCAATTAACTCCTTTCTTCCATGACTAGTTTGAGTTGAGTTTTTAGTTTTTGCAACTAAAACAGCACTGACTAATACACCCTTAGGTAAGATTAGAGCAAGAATTTCCAATATCTGTTTTCTTCATCCTGAAATTTGGTGAGGATATCTAAAGTTCTTTTGTCTTTTAAAAGAATTCTGTTACAATGGAAAGTATCAACCCATATTTTTCCATTTCTCCAAAGTGTTTTAGTGTATATCTACAGGGCACAAACTTCTCTCTGTAGGCCCTCTGTCATGGTTGCTCTGTGCCACCTGTTAAGGGGCTGGTATCTAGAATATATAAAGCACTCTTAAAACTCAGCCGGGCGCAGTGGCTCACGCCTATAATCCCAGCTCTTTGGGAGGCCGAGGCAGGCGGATCACCTGAGGTCAGGAGTTTGAGACCAGCCTGGCCAACACGGCGAAACTCTAGCTCTCTAAAAATACAAAAATTAGGCCGGGCGCGGTGGCTCAAGCCTGTAATCCCAGCACTTTGGGAGGCCGAGGCGGGTGGATCACGAGGTCAGGAGATCGAGACCATCCTGGCTAACATGGTGAAACCCCGTCTCTACTAAAAATACAAAAAACTAGCCGGGCGTGGTGGCGGGCGCCTGTAGTCCCAGCTACTCGGAGGCTGAGGCAGGAGAATGGCGTGAACCTGGGAGGCGGAGCTTGCAGTGAGCCGAGATCGCGCCACTGCACTCCAGCCTGGGTGACACAGCGCGAGACTCCGTCTCAAAAAAAAAAAAAATACAAAAATTAGCCAGGCGTGGTGGCTCACTCAAGACTGAGGCAGAAGAACTGCTTGAACCCAGGAGTTGGAGGTTTCAGTGAGCCCAGATGGCGCCACGGCACTCCATCGTGCGTGACAGAGTGGCACAGGATGGCAAAAACAAAAGCTCTTAAAACTCAACAATAAAAGACAAATAACCCAATTTAAAAATGAGAAAAGAGCCAAGTGTGGTGGTATTCCCAGCACTTTGGGAAGTTGAGGTGGGCAGATTGCTTGAGCCCAGGAGTTTGAGACCGGCCTGGGCAGCATGGCAAAACCACATCTCTACAAAATATAGAAAAGAAAAAAAAAAATTAGTCAGGTGTGGTGTTGCGCACCTGTAGTCTCAGCAACCTGGAGGCTGAAGTGGGAGGATCGCTTAAACCTAAGGAGATAGAGGCTGCAATGAGCTGTGATTGTGCCTCTGCACTCTACCCTGGGCAACAGAGTGAGACCCTGTCTCAAAAAATAATCATAAAGAAAGAAAGATGAGAAAAGCATTTGTTTCTTTCCTTCTTTTTTTTTTTTTTTTTTTTGAGATAGGGTCTGACTGTGTCCCCCATGCTGGAGTGCAGTGGTGCAATCTTGGCTCACTGCAATCTCTGCCTCCCAGGTTCAAGTGATTCTCCTGCCTCAACCTCCCGAATAGCTGGGACTACAGGAGCAAGCCACCACACCCAGCTAATTTTTGTATTTTTAGTAGAGACGGAGTTTCACCATATCGGCCAGGCTGGTCTCAAACTCCTGACCTCAAGTGATCTGCCCACCTCAGCCTCCCAAAGTGCTGGGATTACAGGGGTGAGCCACTGTGCCTGGCCTTTTTTTGCTGCTGTTGTTTTTGTTTTGTTTTTTGAGACGGAGTCTCGCTCTGTCACCCAGGCTGGAGTGCAGTGGCTCAATTTTGGCTCGCTGCAACCTCTGCCTCCTGGGTTCCAGGGATCCTCCTGCCTCAGCCTGCTGAGTAGCTGAGACTACAGCCGAGGCGCCACCATGCCTGGCTAATTTTTTTTTTTTTTAAGTAGAGATGGGGTTTCACCATGTTGGCCAGGCTGATCGTGAACTCCTAACCTCAAGTGATCTGCCCAGCTCAGCCTCTCAAAGTGCTGGAATTACAAGCATGAGCCACACTGTACCTGACCTTTTTTTTTTTTTTTTTTAAGAGAGATGAGTACAAGGTAGGGACTCAGAGGAAAGGGTGGGAAGTGGGTGAGGGATAAAAGACTACACATTGGGTACAGTGTGCACTGTGTAGGTGGTAGGTGCACCAAAATCTCAGAAATCACCACTAAATGACTTATTCCTATAACCAAATACCACCTGTTCCCCAAAAACCTATTGGGAAAAAAAAAAAAAAAGAAAACTCACATAAGTAAATAAATGCAGGCTAGGCGCAGTGGCTCATACCTATAATCCCAGCACTTTGGGATGCCAAAGTGGGCGGATCACCTGAGGTCAGGAGTTTGAGACCAGCCTGGCCAACACGGAGAAATCCTGTCTCTACTAATAATACAAAAATTAGGTGGGCGTGGTGGCGGACACCTGTAATCCCAGCTACTTGGGAGGCTGAGGCAGGAGAATCACTTGAACCTGGGAGATGGAGGTTGCAGTGAGCCAAGGTCGTGCCACTGCACTCCAGCCTGGGTGACGAGCAAAGCTCTGTCGGAAGAAGAAAAGAAAGGAAAGAAAGGTGCCGTCTGGCTGTGTTGCCCAGGCTGGAGTGCGGTGGCTATTCATGGTATGATCATAGTGCACTGCAGCCTCAAAACTCTGGGGTTCCAGTGGTCCTCCTGCCTCAGCCTCCTGTGTAGCTGGTACTACAGGCTACAGCTAAACGGCTCAGCTCCTCAGTCCTCCTTCATCTGCCACAGTGGATACACAGCGTGGCAGCCCCTCCCAGGATGTCACAGATCTTTATGGCTGCAGGGACTGTAAAGTCACCCACTTCAGCCCCTCGTTTATATACAAGGAAACAGTCCTACAGAGAAGGCGTGCCTTTTTAAGTCACACATTTGAGCAAATAAATAATTATCTCCTCACACATTTAAGACTGCTATTACATCCTTCTCTCTAGACCTTTTCTTTTAACCTTTCATCCACTCAGAATGCTCGCCTGGACCCTCTCTAATTTCTCAACATCTTTCTTTTGTTTTTGGAGACGGAGGCTTGCTCTGTCACCCAGGCTGGAGTGCAGTGGCATGATCTTGGCTCACGGCAACCTCCACCTCCCGGGTTTAAGCAGTTCTCCTACTTCAGCCTCCCAAGTAGCTGGGATTACAGGTGCCCACCACCACGCCCTGCTAATTTTTGTATTTTTAATGGAGATGGGGTTTCACCATGTTGGCCAGGCTGGTCTTGAACTCCTGACCTCAAGTGATCCACCCACCTCAGCCTCCCAAAGTGCTGGAATTACAGGCGTGAGCCACCGTGCCCAGCTTAACATTTTTCTTAAGTGGGCCCGAGGCTGGGGGGAAAATCTCACCGTAGAGATATTTGTTAGATATTGAGCATGTGTAAAGAAGGCATCTGTGATGGTTAATTTTATGTGTCAGTTGGACTGGGCCGTGGGGTGCCCAGATATCTGCTTGAACATTACTCTGGGTCCATCTGTGAGGGTGTAGGGTAGGATTGGCATTTAGGTTGGTGGAGCAAGTAAAGCAGGCTGCCTCCCTAACACGGGGGTCCTCATCCATCAGCTGAGGGTCCAAATAGAACAAAAGGCTGAGTTGGAGGGCGCCCCTCCTGCATGACCAACTTTCAAGTGGTGACATCAGCTTTCTTCCTGCTTTTGGACTTGAACTGAAACATCACCTCTTCCTGGATCTTGAGCCTGCTGGCCTTCAGACTAGAACTGCACCTTCGGCTTTCCTGGGTCTCGGCTTGCTGACTCACCCTGCAGCACTTAGGACTCGTCAGCCTCTACATTTGTATGAGCCAATTCCTTATAGTGTCTCTTTCTCCATATATGCATGTATCTCCACATCTTATTGTTCTGCTTCTCTCGAGAACCCTGAATAATACAGTATCATTCCAAGATCAGCAGAAATGTTAGTGCTTCTGGGGAAGTACTGCAAAGGGTACCTGAGTAGCAGCACATGCTCTCAGTACCCCCACCTTCTGTTGTCTGCTGTGGCCTGCTCCCTCCCCACCCTTTGGGTTGATTTCAGGATAGAGATATGGGGATGGCACTGGGGTTGGGTGTGCAGTTACCCAGAACAGCCAGGATGTGTGCACAGTGTGTCCCAGGAGCAGGAGCATCGAGCACTGCTCAAACTGCTTGGAAAAGAAAACAAAGTCAGGAAAGTGCGGAGCTGGGTGGGTGCTGGAATGGAGCAGGAAGAAAGGGGCAAGGGCAGGAGAGAAGCAGAAGAAACAATCCCTGAGACAGAGCTGGTGTAACCAAGGCTCTGTTTGCCCCACCGTTTGAGAGAGAGGGTGAGCTGACGTCAAGGCCCAGCTCTGTTCAAAGGTAGGACACTGATTTTCTTCAAGAAGGCAGAGCTGGGGAGTGGCCTCATGTCTTATCATCATGGAAAGGGGAGGGCTGGGGGAGAGAAGGGGCAGCCAGGGCCTCCGAGTGGTGTAGGCCTCACCCTTGTGCTCACATGTCCCAACCACTGCCAGTGGTGCCACCCCTGAATCCCAGACCCCACGTGTAACCATCTACCTGGACCACAGGAGGAAACGCCACGTTCTTTGCCACGGTTCAGGGTAAAGGCATGATCTGAGTTGGGCAAAAGACAGTCATCCTGGTACCTTAAAAAGGAGTCTAGGGTGAGCCCCAGTCTGCTGGTGGCCGTCTTCACCACCTTTGAGGAGAGACGACCTGAGCAGACACACAAAGGAAAGAGGTGGAGAGAAACCGTGTCTTTGTGTCATTGTTTGAGTCCCTGGACCCAGTCAAGCCCCCTGGACTATGCCGAACTTTTCAGCCGTGGAAAGCAATAAAGTCCATTTAGTTAAGAAAGTTTCAGTTCTGTTTCTTGCAGCTGTGAGCATTCCGACAACCTTGATGTTCCAGGCCCCTGTGGGCTAGGTCCATGAGCTCATTGCTTGCCACGCGCCTCACAGCATCAACTCAATGTTCCCCAAAGCCACGCCCTTCCTTTCTGCTTTCACATCACTGACTAGACCATGCTCTCATGAAAGCCTGCCCCTTCTCCAAGGCGCAGATCAAGTCTCTCCTTTAGGAAGTGTTCCTTGGCTGTCAGGTTTGGGTGTTACCAGGTTTCCTTTTTCCTGGTGGCTGGATTGGAAGGCTTTAGAGGGCAAGGATCATGTGTTAGGATCTCTGCATCCTCCACAAGGCGCTTGTGTTCAGTGTATTTGCTGAATGAATGTCACATAAAAAAGCATGACCCGGTCAGGCGCAGCGGCTCACCCCTGTAACCCCAGCAATTTGGGAGGCCGAGGCGGGAGGATCACCTGAGGTCAGGAGTTCCAGACCAGCCTGGCCAACATGGCAAAACCCCATCTCTACTAAAAATACAACAATTAGCTGGGTGTGGTGGC